TGTTTTGCACTTTACAGTCTTGGAACTCGTAACATTTTAAAAAGAAAACAACTTTTGGAATAATAATAAAGATTACTGCTATTGCACTCACTCCCTGGTGGCTCTACCTCAAGGCAGTCTTGGCGCTTTGAAGTAAAATAAACAATGAACAAAACAAGCCATTACATCTCCCGTTGGTGTTGTTTTTATTATGGCAACAAAATATAATAACCTATAGTTTCAATAGTTCACAGAATAATAGAAGTAGCCCCTTTGTTCAAGATTTTAAGTCCTTGGAAAAAACATTTCAGACTGAATTCTTATTTCTTGAATTATGGCACATATAACTATAAGCCAGTAGAGACCATGTTTCATTACACTACACTAAGAAGCATGATTAAATCACTTGTTTAATGAGAAAGGAAAGTGTAAATTTATATAAGTTGACTAATTGTATTGATGAGTAATTATATGAATCTAATATTACTAATACAAATAAACATGAAAAAACCCCAAAACAGCTATTCTTTTTTGTCAGCCGAAAGTAACAAATGCATCTTAGAACTTTCATGATGTCATGGGCTCTATAACACAAAGTGGGTCCTGGTAACACAATGCACTATTTCTTTAGTGCCACTGCAAGAGCATGTAAACTCCCGAAATGGTGCTGTGTGAAGCTCAAAACTGCACTTTTATCTACTGTACAAATTACATCCACAATCCTAGAAAAAGTTTGCCTACAATATTTCTTACATGACGACACTGGAGGGTTAAAAAATGGTAAAATTCCTCACGTATCACTCACAATAAAGCAAATGTAGATGCAACCCTGACATCTTTATGCTTCCGTTTCCTTTTAATTGGCCTTCTTTAGCACGTGCAGACTTAAAAAATAATGGAATGATTGCGTAGTCATACTCATACCCCCAGGAGACAAACACCTATCACACACATATGAAACAATCTATACTTGCACTCTCCAATATCTCTGATACTATTAAAAGCATCCAAAAAGATATAAAGCTGTATGCAACAGTAATCTATTACTATTACATGAAAGTGGAACTAGTTTAGTTTATTGTCAGTTTGTATTCAGCTGCTTGTACATGTACTAAGATGAAAAGAGCCAGACATCTATATAAGCAATGAACACATTTGAGCATTGAAATTGTTATTAGAAAATTTTGGGGAAAAAAAACCCTTTCGGGAAGCTCTTCAATTAATATAACTTTCTGTTGACCCCAATCTAATGCACACCGGCTGCACATCTGCTAATAGTATTACTAATAGAAAAGTCCATATTTTGTGTTACTCTACTTTATAAATTTGTAATGAGCATACGGGATGTTTTTGTTCACCTTTTGCAGATTACAACACCTGCAGCACAGAAATAGAGAAAAAATCATTTCGCGAAAAGGGGAATTTACTTTATAGCCCAAAAGGTAACAATTGGAGTGTCTTCTTCATAACTTGAGCAAAACCCCAGCCCGAAGAACTGTCGTCACTTTAGCTGAGAATATGAGGGCAGGAAAGAAAATAAATTACAAATATCCTAGAAAAAAACGAGGCATTTAAAACCGATGTTAGAACAAGACACTACAAAATACATGAATTGTAAAACTGACAACTGTGGGTCTAATTTAAATTAATCAATTATAAAGAAACCATAACAATTATGGGTAATAAAGTATAAAAAATCGTACCAAGAAATAATTTTGATTTGGAAACAGAAAATCAGCAACTGAATGTTTAAAAAGGAGCATAAAGAAATTTCACAACCAGAAAATAAACTCATAAAAGGAAAAGAAGAATGCTAAATCAATGTAACATAATTTATTAACACTTTGCAGTCACTTGGCGTAATAATGAGCCGCTGAAAATTATCCGTTCCGGTCACCTGGCGCAGAACATGCCCGAGAAGTCTGTTGCAGTTGCTCTCCTGGCTGGGTGACCAGATGGGGTATTTTGTACTGCAGGCTGTGTGACTGCAAAGTGTTAATGTAAAGGGAAATAAGCAAAGTCACAAATATTACCTGATGCGTAGAAATGATTGATAAAGCAAAAGTGCTGGTTAGAACACGATATGTCTTGGAGCAAAACAACAGTGGGAACACATGCAGCAAGAGCTATTATATTATAAAGTTGAGTTGAGTTTAAGTGTGCAGCAAGACAGCATGACAACAAACACTCACATCTTGCCTGAAACAATGAAGAGAAGGTAAAAACCCCACCAAACCCCACCCTTTCTGCTTGCAAGTGTGAAACTCAGCAATCACCATGTGCTCTTTCTTCCATATATCCATCAATCTCCCCTTTCCTTCCATTTTACTTGCAGAAGAAAAATAGATAGAGTTACTTCAGAATTGTTTTACAAAGACATCAATGTCTTCTGAGAGCATACCGCTTTATTTGAAATCCTTTCAATGCAACAAAACCGACAAGCTAATCCTGTCTACACAACATGGACCCAGTGTAAACTAAGGTTTTATGTTCATTTTAGCACAGGACATCTTAACAAGATGGAATTGCCAAGTGTTAACTTTTTACAAGTGTTAACTTTTTACAGCAAAAGCAAGCAGTTCATTTCATTTTTTGTTGGGATTCATCGTTTAAAAAAATCTTAATTGAGATCCAAAGAGAATTTAACTTCAGAGAAAGATCACAAGGAAAGACATTAAAAAAGGGAGACACTTGCCTCATCACTATACAATTTAGACAAAGGAAATACATGGAATATAGAAACACAGCAATACAGATGTAATAATATGGCGTTGCGAAAGACTTGATGATAGCTCTAGACACATCTGTACTACTGTAATTCATCAAAAAGGAATGATAAAAAGATACAGCACAGACATGAATCTGAATGTCACTGTCAAAATAAATAAGGTCATTGCTACTCACAACCTTTTTAAGGAGATACTATAAACAAAAGAAAATTTGGAAGCAGAATAAGAGTAATGTGACCCATAACTGACAATAAGAGCATATTTGTGCAGAAAATAACTTCTTAACTATTCATTTTTGAATGCGATAATCTGTTTCACGAACAGCAAGGGAAAAATTATATCCAAACTGCCGTAGTGACTGAACTGTTTCCATAAATTTGCAAAGAAACTTTCTTCATATTCTACAATAAACACTTCTCTCAAAAGCGACAGTAAATGGGAAAGCTGTGTGCTTTTGGGACTTTCAAGCACCAATACATATTATACAGTATACCACGGATACCTCGAATTCATCGGGACCGGCCTCAGAACAGTGAACAGTCTTATGACATTGGCTGTGTTAGAGAATCAAGGGAAGCACAAAGATTGCTACTTTAGGGGCAAAGCAATAGATCGTGTGATGCACAACCCGTCCTCTCGCCAGCTCCACACAAGCCTAGCTAGGCATAGGGCCTTGGCACGCGCGTCGAGCTGCGCGCTACAAGGAGCACAGCCAGCTGCTTCTGTGGAGGGGGGAAGGAGGTGTTTTACCGATTGGCCTTTTTCTGTTAAAAAAAAATTTATTATTACCCCTCAAAGGACATTGACTTAAACCTCTACAGCGGCGTAATTAGTTTGACTATTCCATGTTTGAGTTCGAGCTTTGTGTGATTTTCTTACAAAGATAAAGGAAAAGAAAAAACGGGACCGCAGGCACAGTTCGACAGATCCGTGATTTCGAGTAATCTGTGTTTGATTTAGCCGTGTTATACTGCATATCATATACTGTATGGAACAAACTGTTATTTTTGCTCTGATCAAAAACCTAGTTCCAGTTACCGGCATTTTCAAATTTCCTAATCCTCATTCATGTGCAAGAGAAGTTTTGCCCTGCATAACTCTAGTCAAACTACCCATAGAACAAACCCAATCTTAGTTAACATTAAGAACATGTTGACACTTTTTTTATCACAGTATGACAGTGTGTCACATATGACTTTTGAAACATCATAATTTGTGAAAAATACTGCGCCTGAACCTTTTCTCATATAGTGTAGATCATGACTTGAAACCTTTTCCTAGACAATAAGGATAAACAAAGAAGATGGGAGAACAACTAAGGGTAATGTTAAACCTCATACTTGAACCTGATATAAAACTAACTTATATAGTCCAGTGACAGCCAGAAAATGTTTATTGACGTCAACAGTTGGATTTGGATAGCCCGTAAAAGCTATGACATTATATGATTATGCCACCAGCTACTTAAACTATGTGCTCTTCACTGAATTCAGAAACAGAAATGCTCTCTACGTTTCAGCCTCTCAAGGGACAAAAGGAACAAAATATTATACTCAATATTTTCTCCCATGAACCTAAAAAATGCTAGTGAAAGTGTTAAAACAAAAACACATATCTACATTATTTGGATACAGCTACAACATCTTTGACACACCAACTATACGCATACCGTAATCTTGATGATGGTCAAAAATCCTATTTCAGCAAAGAAAGTTAAAACAAAATGAGAGAGACAGAGAAGAGAGATAGATCATAGAGAGCAGACAGAGAGAGAGAGAGAGAGAGAGAGAGAGAGAGAGAAAGAGAGAGAGAGAGAAGAGAGCAGTCAGAGAGAGAGAGAGAGAGAGAGAGAGAGAGAGAGAGAGAGAGAGAGAGAGAGAGAGAGAGAGAGAGAGAGAGAGAGTGAAAGATCCTTGTTCACCTACTACAGAGGAGTCTTCTCAAGACAGTTTCATCATAAGAAAGCACATTACAGTATCGAGCAACATAAATAGATTTGAAATTTTTCAGTCATCCCACTATCTTCATCGGTGGGCGAGGAATTTTTTTCTTGAGAAATCTTGGGAAGGCACTATTGGTAACCCTGCAGCTAAGTTGAGAATAACTACCTTCATCGAAGATAATTAGACATCTCAAGTCATCAATTGGATCTATATTTAGTTATGGATTTCATGTAGCAATTGCACTCTGGAATCATAAATTGCGCAACACACAAGACTATGCATAAATACGAACAGAAAAGACCTAGCTTTATTAAATGTGTTAACTGTTTGATACCAGTATTCCAAAACCTTTTTCTTTACAGACCTTTATGTTATCTGGACTTACTGCACATCTGACAGCAAAACATTTTCTCCCTTGGTGTTGTTTAGTTTAGAGATCAGATGCATCACAAAGGAAAAAATTTCTAGAAAAATCACAATGACAAAAAGGGAAGTGCAAAGCAAGCTGATTGATTAGGCAAAACCACGCTTTCACAATCTTTTTACACAGGCACTCACAAGACTTGCACTTACACACAACGATAGGACGTTTGTGAATTTAATATTCACAGCTTTTCATCCATAATGACATCTGCAGGTAAACATACCCAGAACATATGGTACCGGTACAAAGGTATACACAATATTTTGAAAGACAGGGGACAAAGTGTAATGCTGCCATGCTCAGTGCACAAAATGACCATCATGAAGATGCTCCAAATTTTTTTTTCAAAACTACACAGCAATTCAATTTAATGCATGGAGCAAATTAGCACAAAACATATTTTTACAACTTTTATGTTTACATTAGAATTTGTAGCATTAGGAACAATCAGGCACACAGAGCACTCAGTTGGCTACTGTAATTTCTGGCTTATAAGGTGGCATACAGCATGAGTAGTGCTCTGATGTTTTTCCAAGAGTTTTGTAACTTGGCCACAAGTAAGTAAGGCGCTTACATCTGATAGGACACATGTATAAAGACGCAGAGAACAACTTTGGGATCATTATAATATAAACAATAAAAATCACACACCTCAACTTTCTGAAGCAGTAGAATGAAATTTTATAACAAAGATGATGTGAGAGTGTTGTCTATTATGCGAGTTTTGCAAATCCCAAAGCAAATGACTTATTCCAATACATGTTTATTTACTTTTTGTATCTGCTCATAAAAGAATCTCAACTATTAAGGCACAGTGACCAGTTTGCTCAGAAAACATTGCGCCTTATAGGCCGGAAATTTGCGTAAAAATACATTACCATCACAATCTTAAAGAATTTGTGAACGCTACCCCTAACACAAAATTAGAACAGCAAGTTTTCATACAGCTGTGAGAAAAGCTGTTTGTCAATATAACTAAAATCTCTACTTTCCCAATACAGTGCTGAAGTTAATGCCCAAGAAGTTAACATTAGATTACAAAATTATTATGCTCAAATCAGCATATTGGGCTCATGTCCACAAGGTAAACGTTAAACATCTCTTTGCAAAAATGCCCATGGATGCTAAACAAAATGCATAATCAACAACCCATTACGGTACTGAAATGACACCAAAGTAATGCTTGCTTATTCAATTCATTACTCACTTAACTTTGCTTTGCTTGAAATACCCCCCCCCCCTCCCCACCCCCCAAAAAACAAAACAAACCAACAAACTGATAAATCTAAACAACAAACACAACCCAAAGCACCTCTATTAATATAATAACACAACTCTATAAACTCATGCACCAACATGTGTCATGGGTACACTAAAGTCACACCTCTTAAACTATACATAATAGATATACTTATATAAATATATGAAGTACTAAGTGATATGTTAAGTACAAAACAAACTTGGCTATCGAACATCAGCAGCACCATTGATCGGTAAAACTTTGCTACTAGAAGTCTATCAGAGACCCGACTCCAGACTCAGTAGTTGCAGCTTGCTCACTGTCACCAGCATCATCTTCCTTGGGCGCGGCCAAAGTCTCGTTGTCAGAGCTGCCAACACTCTCTGCCAGGGAGGGGGCACTGCCAAGGAGGTCTCCCATTAAGTCAGAAGAAATGTCCTGGTTAATTTGAGCGCTAGGAGCCGTTGCTCCGGTCTTCTGTGGGCGGGACAAGGAGGAGAGAAAACAAAAACAGTTAAAGACTTGGCCATGAGTTGAATTGACAATGTGTTAGAAAAATACCTGTTGCATTTCCCTGACATTCTAATAATTCAATATAAAGTTGATAGTTGATAGCAACTGGTCAAGCAGGGGATAATAAGAATTTTGGTATAATAAAATATAAAGGTCTTTTTTTAAAAAGACATTGTACGAAAGATCATTTTAAAACTCATTAATGGTAAACTTGCTCATTAAACTTCTTTTTAACTAATCAAAGAAAATACCAATAAAAAATAAAATGAAAACTCTTTTAAACTGTATCAATAAAATCAGTCTTGAACTTTACAAAAACTTCACTTTTAATGTCAACTCTGGTGTTTCCTTCAATATTGTTAACATGAACTAAAAAGAAAAAAAACAACAACAACAAAACTAGATGCTACAGCTTTACTTTAAGTGGTCTCTAGAATAGCTATCTGAGTAGCAATAAACTCCACTTAATAGAACGCTGTTGGTTGCAAAACAGGCTCATCACCAATCCCAACAGAACAAATACGTCATCTTGGTCCCCTGGCGCAGTACTCAAGCGTGGGACCAGCCCAACATAACATACACAATGTATGGGTCTCCAGATCAAAACTTTAAGTGTACACCCTACTTATGTCAGTGAGATCAATGGTCATCACTAAACTCAAATTACTGGTTTTGTTGCTACATGATACCTCCACTTTTGTATTTGATGTTCATCTCATCATATTTATAGGTCTTTTTCAGTGCAGTTAGGCTAAATAAATCTATGCTTTTTACATCCACTCTCATCTATCCGGAAAAACCAACCAGAAGAGCGCTCAAAAGTTTCAGAGAAAATCTGGATAGGCTAACCGAAACTGAAACAAAAACCACCTGACTATGAGGTAGGTGTTGTGACTACTATACTACCCTAATCCCCCCCCCTCTCCCGAGAATGAAGTATTTCCAGTGTTGCAGTTGTAGAAGTAAAGTAATATGATATATATACATTATATTACCTTCAAATATTACAGATTTCTCGAATCTTTAAAAAAATTATAGTTATTAGAATGACTACAGTCCAATTCATGGTTTGAAGAGTACGTGGAGAGAGCAAATTTCTCAACAGCAATTTATATTTTACAAAGGATTCTTTTCTTTGAGGTAAATGACAGAACATGTAAAATGCCATTCACAACAAGGCCTATTAAGTGGAGTCATTGCAAAACTTCAGCTGTGCTTTGTGATGGAAAAGAAAGAAAAAGTACTTATAAATAAGATGTAACAAAAATATAGACACATATAGAGTAGTTAGTGCTTGGCCAGAGCCAAATGCCACTAATTAATGTTTCATCTCAAATCTCCACAGAAATGTCTTTCTCTACTAATTTGATAATACTGACTTTTATATGAGCAATAGCTCTCCAGCATTACTACTTATAAGTAACAACTAATTTATAGAGGGACTAGTTGTTTAGGTTTAGGTGCTGTTTTAATTCTAAACGCAATAAAACATTGCATTATCGATAGGTAAAACTAATGAAACTCCAAGCACCAAGTTAAATATAATGACAAAAAGATGAGAAAATATTTCGAATAAGCACCAAAAACCCATGAAGGAAAAAAGAGACGTTTAGCATTGACACCCTCCATAGATACATAATTAAGCAATCTAATAGGTTATGAACAAAAATTAAAATAATAATAAAAAATATTGAATAACGGCAACAGCCTCCCCCTCCCCCGCGAGTTATGATAAACATTTTCAGGTGCTGCTGTAAACAGGATGACATATAAATATGTATTTAAGCATAACCAGAGCTGCTCCTTAGACGACAGACTCTTTGAATTTGTTAGATTGAGAACAAAACTGAACTGACAGCTGACATAAAGAGTCTTGTATGAAGAACAACATTGTTGACAAAAAATGCAGAAAAAAACCTCAAACCTCAGAATTTCTGAAATCTCCTTAAAATGGCACTACCAACATATCTTCTCACCCCTAATTTATAACATGAATGAAAAAAATATTTACATTGAACAAATAATTTTGTGACCACATTCCACTGACAACATAGACATTCATCATAGGAAAGAGTTTACAAGATGTGCATCAAAAACCGTGACGGTAAGCAAATAACCAGCTTTCTGCATTCTTCTTTCCAACGCAGTTAAGTGCTTTATGACTAAGAGCAACAAAACACACAAACACAACATGCAGCTCAACTCGTGGTCTCAGCATCGCAATATAAATGTACAACACAACATAACTAACTATGAGAACCGCCACAGTTTGCACAACGCTTGTGAGAAAATACAAAGACAGTGAATTGGGACGGGGACTGCCTCATCTGTTTTGTTTGATCCCACTTCCTAAATCATGAAAAATCTGTATCAACAAACTGACCAGGCATTTTCAAATCCAGATCAGAAGGTAAGTTGGACTGAGCATTTAGTTTGTTAAAAAGGATACAAAATTTGAAGTCCTGCATTTCTATTGTGCACAATAAAGACACCTTCATAACAGAAATCTGAAGAAGAGCTGGCTTTCCCAAACACAAATACAAAGTGTACCCCATCAAAATTAAGAGACTGGAAAGGATTTAAACAATTAAAAGTGCCTTCAAAAGTGTCAAATGGTAGCCTGAAAAAAAAAAAAAGGAGGGCATCACATTCCTGTGGGAAAATTTGTGATACATACGTTAAAAAAATTATTGCAATGAAAACAAAAGATCTCACAGCTTACTACCCCTAACATCTAGACCAGGAGCAAAGGCTATACTATAAGCACTGGTGGGGAAGTCATATTTTAAATGAAAGAATGTGAAATGATAAAAGTGTGGTTTTTTTCTTTTGCAGACTCTTGATGGGACATGAGATCAAACAAAACAATCGAAAACAGAGCCAATAATCTGCCCTTCCATTTCAGAGTCTTTGCGAGGCATAAACAATTTGTGCATATATATATACAATCATGCAAAACAATCAAAATTATACTTCAACCCCCCCCCCCCAACTGTTTCAAATAACAATGATCATGAGTAGTCAGGAAACAGGATGAAATTACAACAAGTTAGTTCAATTATTAGCAGGAGATCCAAGAACTACAAAAATAGGTAGCCCCCTTATGAAAACTAGCTGCCTTGATTTCTAAATCATTCTAAAAAATGCAAACATCCACTGTATAAACCACAGGACAACAAAATACTTTCTGGCAGCCATGGAATCATGTCTGAAAAAATTATCTCCCCAACTCCTACCCTTTCAAATATTAAAAAAAAAAAAAAAAGCAATGGATGCCTGAATCTATTATGCCAGTCCAAAAACGACTCTTGCTTTAAGGTAAATTACCCTCACACATATCCTTTTGAGACAATTCGCATTTTCTCCTTTAAACTGTGTATTTGGTTCTCAAGTACTATTAAATACTGCAAAGTTTTACCTTCGCAGCCCAAAGCTCTCTGGTACTTTAGTTAAACTCGCGTAGCTTGGAGAAAGGTGACATCCTTTTCATTTTCAGGGGTAAACTTTGAACTCTCAGCTCGACAAAAAAATAACCCAACTAATAGTCTTAAGCTGAGCTCAACACTTGGGTTTAGAACGTTTAGCTGTTCCTAGATGCTACTCTCACTCAACAGATTGTCAGGAAAGAGAGCTGGAGGAAAATATAATATTTATTAGGAACGAAGAAAGCATGCCACCCTTTGTCAAAGAGGTAGTGGTGCATCAGTGGAACCCTATCTGATGGGAGGGAACACACCCTGTTGGTGGAACAGCCAATCAGTTTCATCAACCTTGCCTGCTTGGGGTGAAAGGTGAGATTTAAAAAAAATCAAATCTAATAGTACACTCATGTTGTTCATCACTGTATCACTGAATCACCCAAAGCAATATCCGTGAGCATCAGCGCCAAAAAACGACTTCAATAAAAGCAAAAGCTGAGACATAAGCAAGAAAACTTAAATCTTAAAATGCTAGCCATCAACTCCAAACGTTCTTTATTTGTTTTGAGAAATTGCTACAAATTATACTTTAAACCTTAAGTTTACAAATTTCCTATGAAATGCTTTAAAAGACCTCAATTATGATTTAATTTCTTCTAGTCCTGCTTGAGCCAGCTCATTTGAGCTCATGCTGAGGATGTTAGCAGATTTTTGGAGAGAAGGAGAAAAAACGCCACGATGGCAAAGTAAGTGTGATTGGGTATTATGCTTAACCAATAACCATTTGCTTTTTCAAGTTTATAAACACACAAACTGACAACAAATACACAACAGCTTAGTGCAAATGAATGTCCACTGTGGTCACTTTCAACTATGGCGCAACTGAACAGGCAAACAGAACAACAGTTGCAAGTAAAAGAATCAGATTGGAACCAGGCTGTTCTCTCTTGTGTAAGTATATTTGAATTTGCACTGTAAATTTCAACATTTTGCAACATCATAATATCCCATTGAGAAAATTTAAAAATAAATTCCATAGGTTAAAAAAAATGTCACTAATCACTGACATAAAAACTTCGTTATATTAGTGTGACCACTGGAAGTCATGAACCACTGTCAAAAAAATAACAACTTAACTTTGAATTGATAGCAAGACAGAAAGAGAGAAATCTGGACCATGCTTTGAATTACAATCTATGCTGAATTAAAGGAATACTTTCGTGCACTGACAAATAAACCTGAACTACAAGTAAGAATGTCAAAGAATGAGACACTGCTAGAAAGCGCCGAGAAGAGAAGAAGGAATGCGTGTGGCCCCAGAGTCCAGATACCATTGCACTGAAGTTGGTTGAACAGAAAAACAGTAAGGAAAGACAAGGATGCAGGCACAGCCAACTGGAAGCTACCAAAGTATAGAGGGGGCAATCATGCCCAGACCAAACATTTATATTGAAGCATGATTAAAGAGAGAAACTAGAAAAAGAAAAACGTACTGTGTGAACAGCAAAAAGACCCAAGCGTAGTAAAAACATACTGAATCTACACTTGTCCTTATTCCCTATTCATCAAGTTGAGTTGTAATTTTCTGACAAACTGCAATAAGAAGCAGATTAGCTGAAATGAATAGAAACACCTGAAAAAAAGTAATAAGGACAGACCAGAGCTGAGTACCCACTCCCTTCATGGTAATTTATGAGGAAGAATTCTACACTAAACTCGGGACTATGACCAGGAATATAGGGGTGAACACCACCACAAATTAAATAAATGGATGCACTATAATAAACTGTCTAGTCTGGGTGATGGAAGGGCATACACCTTGTCGTATTATAACATGCATATATCCTTGTTAAACGGGACTTTATTTTAAAAAAAGAAAAGAACACAAACCAGAAACTAACAAAAAAAAAGTATTTAAATAAAAAACAAACAAAAAAACCCCCAACAATCCTTCACATTAGTATGGGTGTAGAACGAGACTGGTATAATTTGAAAAAGTATGGACAAATACAGCAAAGGGCAAGGCAAAAACGGAAAGCAAATTACCAACACAAAGGCACTTCATTTTCCTCTCCATGTTCATGATGATTGGTCCGGCTATCTGATTAACTTCTTTAATTCATAGGACAGACAACAAAAGTTTGCTGAAAAGCCTTGGCACAAAATATTTGCATTCGATAGGGCGAAAACATAGAGAATGCTGAAACTTAAGCGGCTGAACATCGACACTGACAGGCGCCAGTAGGTGTTTGCTCGACTCCACATAGAAGGCGCCTAAGACCTAGATCTAGATCCATGAAAAAAATTCCACCACAACACAGCTGGTATTTATGAATATGAAGCATTTATTTGGGGGCGAAAAACACGAATTTCCTAAAATATTGCTTAAAATGTAATTCTGCTTTGTTGCCACCCTAATTTGACGACGCTGATTTTAAAAATGTAATTAATTTTTGTCTACGTGAAGCACCAGCTCTAAAATGACCTTTTAAAATTGTCCCCTGTCCAGTCGGATGCCGTCATGCAAACCGCTGAACCCGCGTTGGTGACGGCGAGACTGCATTGAGAGTTTGCGACCTCAGTGCTTTCTTGTCGTATCTCCATTTTTAATAACAGTGAAAACGGTTCACAACAAAGAGTGAGCTTAAGAAAAAGTCACATTTTCACTGTTAAAAAAAAGAATGCACTGAGGTTGCGAGTTGACAGCGAGGCGCCCTTCGCAGTTTTTCGGCGTAATAAGAATGTAGTTCGGATTCCGATAAAGCCAACAGCGCCGATCAGGGCTTAAAGCCGCCTGCAGTCTGCCAGCTCTATGAGGGGGCAAGTTGGAAATCATAAGGGAATTTTTATACCTATCATCACTTACTGAGTCAATCTCTGAAATCAGCGTTCTCTATGTTTTCGTCCAAAGAAGAGATCAAACTATTGTTCTTTTGTAAGAACTTTGCTCTTCTTTCGGGGGACTTAAACAAAGGAGAAATGGGGTTATTAAAATAAAGAAAGAACAGAGAGGAAGAGGAAGACAGACCTAGGAGAAAACCTTCACTCAGCAACAAAATTAACATTATACCTTCACTTTTTGGTGGGTCCACTAACAAAAGCCAAAAGGCTAATATTAAAATTGTGTCATACCGCCCAATCATATCATGTACACAGAAGTCAATAGTTGTGCCATGAACTAAAAAAATAACAGAACAGCCATAACACATCAGCCAAAAAAATCACAAAAGAAGTAGTAGAGACAAGGTGAGTGCCATGCACTATGATGATGAAGAGTTTACCTCAAGCCAGAGGTCTGACCCCATGCTTGGGCCAGGGAGGACATCAGGAGGTGAGCCACGATGCACTTCTGAGATCTCACTTATGAATGAGGAGTGGGAGGAGGAAGGGGAGGGGAAGGAAAATTGAGCAGGAGTAGGAGGACCAATGTGAGGAGAAGAGAGGAAGGAAGAATCAAGCAGTACAGGGGACGATGAGGAAGGTATGGACGGTAAGGATGGTAAAGATATTGAGGAGGAATTGGAGGAGACTGGCTCTTGGGGTTTGGTGTTCTGAGAAGCCCCAGTAGGGCTCAGGGGACCCTCAGAGGAGGTGTCTGTGTCTGTGTCAAAGTCCTCTGTGAAAGAATAAAAGCTGGTGTTGCCCGTTTCCGTGTTTGGCCGTCGTTGAGAGGAGCCAGTCAGCGGGTTAATACTGCGCTGGGCTAAAATACTGGAGACTAGAGATTTTCCTGAGATTGTACGGCCCCTGGAATGAGAAGCTGAGGATGAGACTAGTAATTCTGAGTCTGATTTGCACCGCACGCTTTTGTCGGAGTCTAGTGAATTGTCCAATGCTACATCAGACATGGTGGACTTATTGACTGGTAGGTCTTCCGAGATTCTGGACTGGAGACTGCTGCTGCTGTGTATGCTCTCAGAATCAATGTCTAATGACCAGTCTGAGACATCGGAGTCGCGAAACAGTGGCTGCTGCTCCTGAAATGAGTGATTGCCCTCCATTTCCTTACCCATGAGAGGATCGTCGAAAAAGTCGTCCCACTCGTAACCGTCGCTGCTAAAGAGGTCGTCATACTTCACCTCCACCGAGCTCGTGTCCGATGATGGGGTAGGGACTGGATCTTCCGAGATTGCTGGCATTGGCTGGTGTTCTGGTATTGTCTCTAGAGGCGGTATCTCATATACCCGAGATGACTTCACCCCTTTCGATAAGTATATCTCACTGGCAATTCTAAGAGCTTGCTCATCAAAGTCACCATAGGAAGACGACTCAGGTGCCTCCTCAGAGTCAAAACAGTTACTGGACACCGAATTTAATTGGGAAGAAGCCTGGGGGTGTGGGGAAGGCGGGGGCTGACCAGTGTCCGAGAAGACATCCTCCTGACAGTTGTACTCTTTGCCACTCCCAGAAGTGCTGCTGGTTTCACTAGAGTCACTACACACTTCACTGTCCGAATCTTCTGGGCTCTCCACTGGGTCAGGGGACTTCTCCCTCACAACAGGCTCACTTTCCTGGTTCTGGCTGTCAATCAGCAAATTTTCATTGCTTTTCGCCAGTAGGATATGACTGGACCTGTACAGGTTAGATCCACTGAATGAAGATGGTGGACTTAATCTGAAATCTGCAGACTCAGGGAAAGCTTGATCTGCAGAATGTCCCTCAGAGATTACACTATCCCCTGTAGGATCACTAGTGTCCACAAACCCTAGACTATCACTAGAATCCAGGCCGTCCTGCGTGGGGGCAACATTACTCAGACTCTCCGTGACACTGCGGCTGTTGATTCCAGACTCTGACTCAGGGCTGTGTGAGGAGGCGGATTCAAATTTGCTATCAGTACCTACCTTTTCTGAGCCAGTGTCGCCGATAAGCAGCAGGTCCTGTTGTTGATCCGTCAAGGACGTTGCAGCTGCTGGAGGTTGATCACCAACTTCAATAAAGCTGAAGTCATTGCTTTCATTTAAAGCTGGCAGAAGGTCTCGTTGTGCTTCCCCAAGGGCCTCTTTAACTGTCGGCACTTCTGCCTCCAATGGCGCAAAATTCTGGGTGTTCTCACTGATGGGAACAATTAAATCGGGGAAAGCAGATTCTTCTGGTTTACTCGGAGATGCCTGGAACTGGAGAAAACCTTCAGGGTCAGGGATGAGAGACAGATCGCTCTTGAGGCTGGGGTCCGGTGTTGATAGTAAATCATCTTCACCAAAGCCTATCAGGAGAGAATTATTGTTGCTGCTTTGTGGTGGAATCTCAGGCTCGCCACTAGCAAAGCCAAATACCTCCTTCTCTTCTAGACCCTGCGATACATTTTCTGAAAATATGTTTTGTTCTGTTTCTTCTTTGGAACCTGGATCTGTACTTGAAACCTCTATCTTCACTGCATCTTGCTCCTGGGCAGACAAATCAGAAGTAAGAAGTCCACTGTCTAAGCTGGAGGATGGGTCAACCTCTGCAGAGGTAATAAATAAGGCATCGTGTGAGGTAGAAGACAATGAGGATGCAGGCAAAACAGTATCGGCAGACTTGTCTCCAGTTGTGCTTGAGAAAGACAAGTCTGCTAACTCGTCCTTGGCAGTGTTGTTGACAGAGATACTACTTTGATTCTGTTCTGCTTTCTCTTCATTGGCAGATACCACAAAGTCAGAGAAATCATTCATGGAAGCAGTCTCCATCTCAGCGGCCTCAGTTTTTTCAATAACTTCAAATTCCTCACTGACTCCTCCAGCACTTGATGCCCCAATGGAAGCCTTCTCAAAGTCGGTAAAATCAGCTCTCGGCGCTGTTGGGGACGTTTGAACAAAATCACCAAACTGATCCCCAGTTTCTTCATCTGCTGTTTCTTTCGCTTCCACTTTACTCATGACAAGATCATCTAAATCTGTGATATTGGAATAATTTTTGCTAACTTCAGGAGTAGGGTCCTGCAGTGTATTATCTGCGAATTCGCTAAGAGACAATCCGTTAGAATCCAGACTAAAATCCTGTCCAATACCCTGTAACAGTTCAGGGGCATTATCTGATGGTTCAGGGCTACTGATCTTTTCCATGGCAGACATATAGGCGCTGTTTCTGGATGATTCTGCTGAGTAAAATTGAGCCGTTGAGTTTTGACTCTGCTGGTTTTTGGGAGTACTTGTTGTCACCATGAGCAGGTCGCTTGGCGAGCTCACTGTGGCTTCAAATGTATCACGCGTCTCCTCAATTCGTGAGACTTCATTCTCAATGATGATGCTGTCATCTTGTGGTGAACTTTTGCTGGTATTCTCAGCAGCTGAGGCAATCTTTCCAGCACGACTGTCTCCAATGTCATTAGCAATGGCAGCTACAGCTTGGGGCATTTCTTGAACTTTTCCTTTTGAAGATACTGGTGTTGATGTACTGATACCCTGGCTTTCAAAGCCCGCTCCGACAAAAGCTGCTGCTTCCTGAGTAGTGTTCACTGCAGCACCATCTGACATGACTGACGCCTCCTCAGGAGAAGAAGAGTTGACTGTGGCAAAACTGCCAGCTAAGGCTGTCCTACTCCCAGCCAGGCTGTCTGCGCCGGAGCTGCTGGCTCCGCGACTGGGCACCAAAAAGTTCCACTTCTGGTCAAAGTCGTTCATAGTGTCCATTGTGTCCACTCTCTGACGCAGAAGTTGATTGAGAGAGTGACAGATTTGCTCAATATCTGGTCGTTCACCAGGATTCTTCCAGCACTGTGTCATGATAGTACTCCTGTTTGAAGAGAAGGCAAAAAGGATACAAAATGTTACCATCCATAAGTGTAGTCAAAATAGTCTACAATAGCCACCCATTGTCAATGAGAAAAATGGTTGCCTTAGACAGGTAAACATCTTACAGTGTCATCACAATTATTCAATATAAAGAAAATGCCAGGGGAGGGGAGGGGGGGGGGGGGGGGAGTGGTCGTTTATGCAAATGATTGTCTTATGCAGGTAGCTGTTAGAGCATGCATAGACGCAGCATACGTATGACATCAATGCACGAGGGCACTGGCTGTTTATAGAAGGGTAGCCAGGGAAATCTTCCTCCTAAAAATCCTACCACACCAAAAAAAATCCTACCACTATAAGTCAAGTTGTTTCTTGCCATTGTCGGTGTTACGGCTTTCGTCAAAGAGAATCACGTAGAAGGGGTTATTTCGTACACATCTTAGGAAAGCAGTCTTGATCATCGCTGCGATCCCAAATGATCCAAGATAGGCAAGTTTTGTGCGACTACACTGAAAACTCAGCTATTTTAGAGTTTAAAAACATCTCATGAACGAGAAAACTTGTGTCAACAACTTCTCTATTTGATTACTATCATATTACTGTTGGTGCTCCTTTCAGTATCTCTCACAACACTTGTTCTGTTCTTGGCAAACCTAAGAATAGATTTGGCACCACACTGGCTGGTTTGGGCTTCAATGTGTGTTTGAGGTACCACCTGAATGACAGTGACATACACTTGGGAACAAAACTTACATCTGAACTTGCTTTTATCATTTGGATACTCCATCAATCATTCTGAATACTTAGGGTCGGACAACCACTCAGTGTTGATGAAGTAGCACTTTCTCATGATACTGGATCTAGTCTAGATCTCTCTCTAATTATAGTCTACACATATAGTCACAAAAATCTAAGAAAAATAAGTCCGTCTTTAGCATAGGTTTCAGTAGGCCAAGTGCCGTCAATCTTCTACTCTTCAAAGACTATCTTCTGAGTTTATCCATAGTCATAGATAAAGAATCAAGATGCTGTCACTTTCACGAACAAATTTATTATATATATTATATCCCTCTCTATATAAAAATATCACTGAGCTTACGAGCTCGCCTCGACTACCACCCATCCAATGACACACCAACCCTTTAGTTCAATAACATGGCTTACAAGGTATGACGGATCCCGATTCCACACAAGGCTTGCACCAAACACACTATGCAGAAAGCTTTCGTTGTAATCAAAATTCTAAAGGCTAATGCTAAAATTTGCTACCAAGTTCAGTTTTTATCCCCTGGTGTTGCCTTTAAACCCCCCCGCGAGTGTATCTTAATTATTTTTTTTAAAATGCTGCCATTCCTAAATCCTATACTTCCCAGTGCTCAGACTAAGAATGAACTTTGGTGACCCCAATATTCGCGGTACTCACTCGACACTTTATCATGTGTGTGACATACAAACGCGCAGGTTCACTGGCCGGTCACGATGGTGAGCCCGACAAGACGCTTGTATAACTTTCTTTTCTTTTTACATTAGTGAGAAATATTGAGTTATTTTCATGGCGACACAGCCTTTGTAATGCACAAACTGCATGTTACAATGTTGTGTTAGCAGACCGGCAAATTTCAGGGTGGTAGTGAAAGCGAAAGTAGATCTAGATTTACCCGATAGAGCCTCAGTACCACTCATGCACTTCCGTATGCGGCCATAGCCACGCCGCGCTCTCACTCTCAGACCGGGAAAAGCCGAATGATTGCGACCGACAAAATGAACTTAGGGACGTTATTGGATTTGGTTTTCAAATATTCAAGAACTTTTATGTATTTTCTCGGGTCTTTCGCGAGGCAACTTAAAGATTTCCTCAAATTTCCTTTTATTGCCGACGTTGATCCAACCATTTCTGTCATTTAAAAATTCTTTTTACGACTAAAATCCGACTTATCCAACCTAAACAAAAATTTACGACCAATTTACGAATTCCCTTGCCACCCTGTATAGCTTACCCAAAAGGTAAATGCATGAGAGCGTTGGTAGCTGTGTAAAATTTACCTCTTACCTATGAGCTGAATGCTTGAAAAGAATGTGTGGGTGTAAAAAAAATCACAGTGGAGGCAGAACATTTTTCACTGTACTTTTGGGACTTCATAAGCAGTGGCATTGTAAATGGTAAAATGATTTTAAAAGAAATCCTACATAATTCTTTAATGAATACTGAAATGCAAATGATGGAAAATAATTTTAATGCAACATAAAAAATCCTACCCATTTCTTTTCAGACTTTGGTTTCATATTTGGCTTTTCTGCAGAGAGTTTGAGAAACATTTTTTCTTTCAACGTAACAAAATATGAAAGCAGTTGGAGTAGCCCCTGAGCCTCTGAAATATGTGATCTGCCAATCAGTTACAATTACTTACAGGTCTTCTTTGAAAGGAATTCTTGTATCCACTTCTTGAGGAAGCAAAAGCCTGTCTATCACGACTCCCTGAAGAACAGCCTCATCACTAAGCATAGAATATGGCTGCTCGCCCAAGGACAAAATCTCCCACATCACAATTCCAAACGACCTGTGGCATGAAGAAAATCACATCAAATCATTTAGATAGAACAAAACTAAGAAGAAAAAAGAAGGAAAATTAGCAAACCATAAAAGGCCCATAACTGAAACTTTTACTCATACCTTCAGACATTAAAAAACCCAAACGTTTTGAGAGAAAACAGAACAGCTCAAGATTTAATCACAATGTGAGTTCCCCAAGCAGAAAAATATCAATGCACGTAAGTAATAACAGTCTCAACTAGAGTAAAGGAAATGCAAAAAAGCAGAGGGAGAGAAAATTTGAAAATAAGCTGAGAACCTACTCAACATTCCCCCCCCCATCAAAATAATTAACCCTCTCCGTACACCTGGGGTCATTGTGTACCCCGGGGGGTTGTATTCTTCACATTTTAGAATACTTCTAGTGCGAAGATCTCTTTTAAATTTTAAGTATTTCTAAAAAAATGATATGACAAACCGCTATACATAGCGTACGGATCGGATTAACGAGTAAATTTCCTCTTTGGAAAGTGGCGGCACAGAGTTCCCCCATGTCGTATGGATTCGATAGTAAAACACGATGCACGGATAGGGTTAATAAAGCAAATCGATAAGATGAAACAGAAAAATAACTTCAACATATCAACAGTGACGCAAATAATTCATGATACATATAAATACAGTTTCTCAACATACCAAACATCTGAAGTTTTATCTGAAACCTGGGCTGTCCAAACTCCTTCTGTTTGAATTAGACTCTCAGGGGCCATCCAACGTATCGGCAACAGCTCCTTCCCTGTATCAAAATAGTCCTCCTGTAGAGAAAAAGAACATGTTTATGTAGGTGACAGGCATATCAAAATAGATGACCATATCATATTAAAAAATATCAAGCTATCCCTCAACTCAACATGACAGACAAGGTAAACTGAAATCTTTCTAAATCTGTACGCATAAAAATTAGGTGCTTATGTAGCTCATGTGACTGCATCAAGAGTAAACTAGTCAAACTGTTCAAAATGGAATCTTCAATGCGTATTTTCAAACGTAAGACATATAAATACAAAAGAAAATAACAGAAATAAAAGCTACTTTTGACAGCAAAATAAAGTGTTTTCCCTACCACAATGCTTTAAAAGGCAAAGACCATAATTATAAGTTCCATTCTTTAGAAATATTGTCACAAAAAGCTGTGACTGAAACAAGTGCAAACTGTCCTCGCCCACGAAGAATGATACTGTAATCAGAGACAATGTTGCTCAAAACTTAATGTAGAAAAAGCAATATGCCATACCTTGAACAGAACATCAGAAATTCCGTAGTCCCCAATTTTGACATTGTGATCTCCCATAACAACACAATTCCGCACAGCAAGGTCACTGAGAAGAAAACATATTTGTCATGAAAGTGAAAACAAATTGTGTGACCCTGAAGTTTCAACCATTGAAATTTTCAGGTTTGCAAATCAACGGAGAACGCAATGAAATGACATTCTCAGGATTAAAAAAATTTTCCACATATTTTCAAACCTCTTATACTTATACAATTCCTACAAAAATCTAGCTGCTGCAAAAAATCTAAGAAAGATGTTTTCTAGAATAATCAAAGAGTTTGCAACTGTCACAAAACTTGAAACAAAATGAGCCAAATTTTCCCAGAGCAGGTCACATTGATTAAATTCACTTCCTATCAAGCTAGGCCTAAAAGCCATCCCTGTATCAAGGCATTCCTGAGAAATAACTTTGAAAAAAAAATTTCAGCTGCAAAAATTCAAACAAATCCTTTTATCTGGCATACCAAAGTGAAGGTATCAAAATAAGGTAAGTGATCCAAATGTAGAAAAGTAAAGTCAAAGAAAAATAAAGAAGACTTTACATCATATAAATATGGCATAAACCCCCCCCCCCCCCCAAAAAAAAATAGCTTGTTCAAGATGAGACAATAATGACAGCATTACTCTAACCCTTTCCACCACTTTTTCCTTTCCCTGTGTTGGTTGGCTGGCCACATCCCGCTGTTGCTAAAGAATTAGACCTAACTGGTGGTGGCGTTGTGTCATCCCTCCACCGCTTCGTTAAACAGTTTTTTAACCTTTTATGTGACCATACATATAACACAGGGAGAGTCTATTGTCTGGTCCTTATTTCGCTCTCGACTCTGAATTTGCTGACATGAAAATAACAAGCTGCAATTGATTTAAATTCTAATTTTTGCCCCTTTCATTTTAACTCAAATGTTAACACGAAATATGTTTAATCATCCTGTGAACACCGATCGGATTCAGGTTTCATACTTTGAAAATATTGGTTTGGTTTAGTAACCCTCGGTCCATACAGAAGAGGAGACTCAGGCTGCGTTTTGCTCAATGCAAGAATTAAATTGACACTTGCAAAAGAGAGCCTTTGAAAGCTTGGTTTAACATATAAATGTCTGTACAAATCAGAGGTCAAAAGATGCTAATACGTTTAATATTTAGTATCACCGTCATAAAGTGCCAGATCTGAAAAAGATACAGTGATCAATAGTTTTCCATTTATTTCTTTGCTTGGATGCACCATAAAAAACTGTCCATATTATCCAGGTCTTTAGTTTCCCTGTCACTCATTTGTTTGGGTTTTCCTTGTGCATTGCTCTGGGTCTACCCCTGCCTCACATTTCTTTAACTTTTCTAGTGAGGGCAAGATGTTCAAGGCCTTTGTGTTATTTCAAATTTCCCTGTTATTGCATTTGTCTCTTCCTGATTGTTGCTTTTAGTAGGTGGCCTAAGTTGGCTTCTTCTAGCACGACCTCATTAGATTTCCTTTCCTTCCATGAAATGAACGCTTTCTATAAAAATTCAAAGACATTTTCACCTAGACTCAAATCAATATGCATGATTGATTGCAACAAGTGACCAATTGGATAGATATACAATGTATAAAAAATTATTGAAAAATAATTAACCATAAAAGAATATAAACTATCCATCAACTATGCAACTAAAAGAAAAGAACAGGCAAAATCATTGAGATAAGTATGTCAGTCAAAACAACTTACTTGTGTAGATAATCATGACGATGGAGACAGGCAAGCCCGGAACCTATATCAAGAGCAAAGCTGATCAGCTGATTTTTCTTTATCAGAGAATCAGCTTCAGGCCGATTTTCCATCAGAAATGTCTTTAAATTTCCCTGCAAAACATGATTACAATAGTACGACAAATGCATACAAAATCAATAGAAATGTAAACTTAACATAGAACAAGACATATTAACACTTTGCTACTGAATTTTCCGAAGCTTTTAAAAATGTTTCTGACTCTCTACTATTACAGTCGAATCTGCCTTAATGGAATCTCCCCGCTCCCCCGTTGATTTATTCCTCTTTAATTACTAGTATAAAACGGAAACTTGTCCAACGCGGAAACGGAAAGAAAAATCCGCTCCCTTCGGAAGGTGTTTCATCTGCCTAAGACAGAAAATGCTTTGCCCGCTCAGCCCTGATTTGAAACAAAACTCACAAGTTTGGTTCCGAAGGCTCTAAACGTAACGTCATGGTCATGCCGCTGGGCCAGGAAGGGGAGTAGGGGTGCAATTTGGGGGTAGATGTTACCCCATCATGTGAGCCCTGTGCGATGCAGATGGTCACGGTAGTGTGGGTGTGAAATCTCACAACTACATGTTAGAGTGCTCGAGTAGCGAGCCACTACAGAAACTTTCCTGGGTAACCAGAAGACAGAGGTGTAAAATTAGATTGACCAATGCCTGCCGCCCTGATCGTACAGCCAGCTGAGAAAAAAGTTCCTCGAATTGTTGTTACATGATGGCATTGGTTGACTGTGCTTGTTACACCGGTGGGTGGAGCTAAGGGTGGAAGCAAAGAAGATGTTCAAACGTTTCTGTTTTTAATAGGTCAAACAGCAGTCCCATGAAAGGCAAACACTGGTGGTAATAGGACAAGTATGTCATTATCAGACAGGACAGCAATTGAGATGTGTGAAGTTTTGACCATTGCTTGCTGATCGGACAAGTGATCCTTGATCCCGCCGGCGGGGCCTTTGACCCAACCCCCTCTATCTCCCCCTGTCTAAGCGAAATTTTTTTTCTGGCCCCCTTGCCATTCCGTCTTACAGAGGTTCGACTATATAAATGTTGTTTATGGTAGTATTCTGGTAGTGGCATCAGCACTCCTGACTGGGCAAATCTATTTTAACCAGAAACATGTCTATTACTTGTCATGGCCACAATGTTAAAATGGATGACAGGCTGTAAACAAAACATAAAAAGACAAAAATCAGTCTGAAAAATCTATTGAGAGACTTACTGTCAATTCTAGAGACATGCTAAGTCTAAATACATTTGCCAAGCTAATTAAAAAGCAGTTTATACAGGTCATGATACTATGGAGAAAAATTTAGAAACCAAAATCTCCAAATTTTTCTGCAATAATCAGGAAAACACCTATAACTGTGCTCCAGTGTTTAAAAAAATTGCTATCAAACTATAAAAAACTCCCACTTGTAGTCAAAAGGAAATGACTCGATGAAAGAAACTACTTTTCAAACACTCGCATTACCAAATAATAACGTCTGCACCACAAGAGCAACTAAAGGAAGGCCGACGACCATAGACGGTCTTGCTACAGGGCTGCCGACCTCAAAGTTCCCATATCAGGTAGATTCAGGGTCAGTTTCAGGTAGTTTGGCCCAAAATTAGGTAGTACAAAGACAAAGAAGAAAAAAAAAAGACGATCGTTGCCCCATCGAACACGCTTGCTTTCTGTGATATTGGGTAATTGTATTTTGAAAACTTGTTTGTGCATGCACATGTGTGTGTGTGTCTGTGTGTGCAAGTTGCCATGCTCTCGCATGTGTTTATATATGCGCGTGGGGAAGGAAGGGGGTGTTTGGGTGTGCACAAGTTATGATGAACAATGTGTATGAAATGAGGCGAAATTTTTCTGTTTTTTAAAAACATTTATGGACTTATCGTTCAAGGCACCTATCATTCAGTATTGAATCTGGAATTGAGTGCAGGGTGATTGCCAAACTGACTTCGAAACCCCTAGCCCATACCAATAGAAACTATATTATTATTAAAACATATTTCCCGACACTAGCATAGGACTGTGACTTAGGTATGACAGACAATTAATTTTAACTAGTTTTACCCTAAAAATACAAAATGAATCGTGATCTGGGCCTGAGAAGAGGCAAGAAGAACACCAACTGCCAAAACCATGTTTGGTTTCAGCAATCACGGATTTTAAAAAGCATGCAAGACAAAACTTATTCATAAAACCTTTATAGTTAGGCTCCCGGCAGAGCAAAAAGTGAAAATAAAAGACAGCGTGTACTGAGAGCCGGAGCTGGAAGGACTGTGAGAGAGTGGGATGTAGTGATGCTGAAAACCTGGCAATCAGTGAATCACTGCATCATGGACTAAGTATTGATTTTTTTCAAAATGCTAAATTATAATATCAGTATTTAATCAGCAACAAGCTATCATGATGCATAGGCATCCAACATAAAGCTTTCCGAGGGTTGAAAATGTCATTTCCTCATTTCCACTATTCAATTTGTCATCACTGACAAATCCGACAACACCAACCTTGAAGATACAATCATCAAGCCTGTACTCTAATGTACCCTCATTTACGCACTTGATTGTTGAATGTCAAAACCACTTCCACTTATCGTTTTTATTTTAGCATCAGTTTCTAGCACAGCGGCCTTTACCTACTGTCGTAGACTTTAATACGTTTAACACCTCCCCTCAATTCCGACTCCCTGCTACACTCCTACTTAGAATGAACTTTGATTAGGCTTTCCCCAACAACCACCGGCCGGTCCCTTACTCATGCCGTACTTACGAACTCTCACAGGCTCACTGACCGGTCACGATGACGGGCCCGACAATCTAGAAATCGGAGGACGCATGTTTTCTTTTTCTCCCTTTTTTTGACATTATAGTGACATCAGTGAGAATATCGATTTAATTTGTATGGCGACACTATGTTTTTTTATGCACAAAGTGAAAGCTACAAATTTTTATTAACTATAAAAATATAACGTTAACAAACTATCATCGGACAATTCTGAGTGGTAACGAAAGCGAAAGTAGATTTTGATTTTCCCGACGGAGTCTCAGTATTACATCTACAGTTCCGCCTGCCGCCATAGCCACTCATTCGCGTGAAACGTACTCTCGGCCTGGGGAAAGCCGAACGTAATATCACAAACGCGACCAGTAAAATGTGAACTCGGTAGGCTTTTCAGATATGGTTTCGAGGACTTTGTGCATTTTCTCGGGTCTCAGCGATTTTTTTTTTTCAGATTCCCCGTTAATAAATTCCCGCAGTCCCCCTGCGTAGAATCCTCATTTGGTACTGACCAATTCTCTAGACCAAGACAGATTTTAGAATGTTTTGCTTCGATACCGATTTTCTTTCTACATTCACAATTCTGTTTTCTAGATAAATGAATTAAAAGCACAGATTTTCCAGCCCAGCAAAAAACTGAAGATAGACAGGAAGAAAGAATGAATGAAAAGAAGGAGGAAGATAATCTATCGTGAGTAGACAGATTTTAGCCAATATGCACGTGAAAAACTATTGCCGACCGAACGGCACAGATAGACAATGGTCGAGTGTACGAAAAGCGCAATCTGGCAGTTTCTAATACAACTTATTGCCAAGAGTTGCCATAAATATCTGACAAGTTACAGAGGCAAGTGCTGATCTCTCTCTCTCTCTGTCTCTCTTTTAACGTATGGATTCGATATGATGATGCGGCAAGTACGGAACAAAGAAAAATGGAAGCCGGAACAAAGAAGAATGGAAGCACTGCAGAATGTTTTTTTTCTTTTTATTCTCTCGGCACCCATCGCAAATCCGTTAGTTTTGAGATTTAGGCAGCCCTATTGCAATCAGAGGAAAAATACAGAAACAAATGCACACAATTGTAGGATAAATGAGGAAAATCAAACAGTGAATAACAGAAATAAACCGATTAAGGCACACAAGTACCTAATTTCAAATCTTACAATCACGACAGTTTCAGTCAAAATTTTCTATCTAGGGTCATAAGTAATAACAAGAAAAGTCCCTTGTTAACTAATGCCTAGAATACTTACATGCGGGGCAGATTCCAATATAACTAAGTAAGGAGCTGCTTCAGTACACTGGCCCAATAAGCTCAAAAGATTTGCATGTTCCAGGCATCTAAGTGAGGAGGGTAACAATTATAAACAATAGAAATTAGAATAGGTGACGAAATGGAACCCATGAATCCATTGACTTACATGGTCACTTTTAAGCACAAGGGGGCTGTTCAGTTTCTTTAAAAGACAACGAGAGTTTTCTCTTTAACCAAACAAAATACGCAACCAATGAAACCAAACTTCTTCTATAGGTAGGGCAAGGCCCACTTTTGGTGTAGGTCAAGATTTCTTGAAACCCCCGAAATCTAGATTAGCCTGCTTGTCCTTAAAAGTGACCATATCATCTATCCAAAGCCTTCAAATCAGCCACAGACAAACTGATCCTTAGAACCCCAAAACAAAATTACAAAACATATGGCGAGCATTCCTTTTTCTTCTTTGGTCCCTATGTATGGAACAAACTCCCATATAAAATCAGGAGTGCCACTGCTATTCACATTTTCAAAAAACAGCAGAAGCATTACTTATTCACAAATGAAATGCATACTTGTATTAACGATGAACTGTTACTTTTTAATATATGCACGTGTATGCCTGACGGTGAGACTGAAGAAATATCACGTTTGTGTGTGTGTGTGTGGGTGAGTGAGAGAGGGGGG